TATTGCCATGAAATAACCATATTCTCTCACTAAGTTTCCAAATTTTGGAGGGATCAGATACAGAGAAAAAGATAAATGTTTCAGTTCTGCTCGCAAACGTATAATTTCACCAAGTTGCTACAAGTCATAGCTAGCATAAGAGAAAAGAGAAGAAGATTTCCTTAAATCTGAGAAAACAAAGCAAAACATCAAAAAATGAACAATATTTCAAGCAAAAGTCATAAAAAATTATTATCATCCTCATCAGTTATACAGTCCTGTATAATTGATTCTTGATCTTAATCTTCTGTTAGCAGATTTATGAGGTCATCAGTTTCTCCACCAGATTTCTGTAATTTCTTACCCAGTTCAGTTTTATTATCAGAAACCTGTATTCCAGAGTAAGTGTCAGAGTCTTTTCCATGAATCTTTCTGAAGATGAGACATATTTGCAAAAGCGAAAAGCATCAGAGTAAAACAATAAATGTCTGTAAACAACAAGACTCAAAAATGGAAATTGACAACAAGTTATTTATCTGACAAAGGGTTAATCTCCATAATATATAAAGAACTCACACAGCTCAACAACAAAAAATCAAACAACCTGATCAAAAAATGGGCAGGGCACATGAACAGACATTTCTCCAAAGAAGATATATGGATGGCCAATAGGCACATGAAAAGATGCTCATCGTCACTAATCATCAGGGAAATGCAAATCAAAACTACACTAAGATATCACCTTACACCTGTTAGAATGGCAAAAATATCCAAAACAAAAAGTGACAAATGTTGGAGAGGTTGTGGAGAAAAAGGAACCCTCATACACTGCTGGTGGGAGTGCAAACTGGTGCAGCCACTATGGAAAACAGTACAGAGATTTCTCAAAAAATTAAAAATAGAAATACCTTATGACCCAGCCATCCCACTACTGGGTATCTATCCAAAGAACTTGAAATCAGCAATTCCAAAAGTCCCATGCACCCCTACGTTCATCGCAGCATTATGTACAATAGCTAAGACGTGGAAGCAACCTAAGTGCCCATCATCTGATGATTGGATAAAGAAGATATGGTATATATATATATATATATATATATATATATATATATATATATACAATGGAATACTACTCAGCCATAAAAAAAGGATAAAATCATCCCATTCACAACAACATGGATGGATCTTGAGGGTATTATGTTAAGTGAAATAAGCCAGACAGAGGAAGATGAACTCTGTATGACTCCACTCATAGGTGGAAGTTAAACATGTAGACAAAAAGAACTGATTGGTGGTTACCAGGGGAAAGGGGAGGGTGGGGGGAGGGCACAAAGGGTGAAGGGGTGCACCTACAACATGACAGACAATAATGTACAACTGAAATTTCACAAGGTTGTAAACTATCATAATCTTAATAAAAAGAAAAAAAGGAAATTGACAAAGAAATTTGGTTACTTTTGTGACATAAAACACCTTAAAATAATAACCAGAATTATGCCTGATAACCAGGATAGATAAGAATTTTAGGAATGTCATATAATTTTTTAAACATCTATATCAATAACTTTTACCCACAAAATACCATAGGTCCCTTTGACACAGTGTTTAGTTATGCGTTTAACCATAGTGACAACTAAAGACTTTTAGGCAAATTCAGAGGATCAAACAGCTGTAAGACCTTAGCGCCTGTGATTAAAGACTTGCTAAACAATACAGGATATTTATTTTGATAAAACATACAATCCCTTCTGCTAGACAACTTAAAGAAAAAACTTTCCATACTCTCTTTACCAAGAGCAGACTAGAAGTTCAGGAGAATTATCCTTTGAGAGAAAAACCAACGTTTAATTTCTGCACCAGCTTATTTTTAACATTAAAACTCATTTACTTTAATATTAGTCAACTTCACCAGCATAAAACTCCTTTCAGAATTGCTCCCTCACAAACCTTCCACTACTTTCTTTTCACCTTCAGAATTCGTCCCAAATTTTCTTCCCTTCTGGTACTTTAGGACAAATTTATCTTTCTTAACCCAACAAACAAACATATCTCACTCTTTATACCTTCTTTACTGAAAACATACATTTTACTTTCCTTAGATACAAAGATGTTTTCCTTTTAAATTTTTAGTGGCTTTAATTACATATATCAATTAAATTTTTAACCCTTACAGACCCTAGTAAAAACTAAAAAGTAAGCAACTATGAACTGTGTTTTATATTAGCATACTGTGGTTTGGCAAATTTATAAATACTTTTCATAATTTCTAGAAACATGCTACTTCGTGGTAAAATACAAGACATGTTTACTGATAGACCCAAACTCCTTTTAGTTTCTTTGTAATAAGAAGCCAAAAGTAGATAAACATATATTTAATAATTAATGTCTAATATATTATTTGGAAATGATCTAAATACTCAATGAATGTTATCATTTAAATTGACCTAGCAAAACTTCAAACTTTCAAGTTACCAAAAAGATTCTGGAATTTATTTTAAATATACATGTCATAAGACATAATTATTTTAAAAAGTTTACCTAACACTTGTAGCTTTTTCACATCTGTTTAGTTTACTCGATCCCAACAATTATTTAGATTGCCTATAAAACTTCATGAGACATTAGTCAAAATTAGCCATCATTTAAGTTATTATTTTTGTTAACCAGTTTTGTAATAGAGATAACATCAGCTTATTTGACCAATAAATGTAGAAGAAAGGCTGCATGTCTGCATCATATCCAGTGCTAACTCTGGAGGACATGTCCATTTTAATCAAACCAACATACTTAAATAAGCTTTCATTTACCAAAGATTAATTTATATCATGTTAACTTGAAAGACAGTTGAGTTAGGTTCTATAATATTTACAATTTACACAAGCGCTTATTTTTAGCCAATTGAACAAAGCTCTTAATTGTAGTCATATCATCTGGAGGTAAAAATATCATACACATCTAACATACATATAGACACACATGCACAGAGTCTCCACACCTATTGTTTTAAAAGTTACTGCCATGAATCAGGTACAGTAATACAAAGCTCCCTAGTTATGAATCCAAATTTTTTTTTGAGCCTTTTTAGTAATATTTGTGGAGAAGACACTCAAGATGCTAGATTTTTGGCAAGGGCACGCTTATGGCCACGTTTTTGGCCTTTTCCCTTTCCTTTTTTCTTCAGTCTTAGAAATTAGTGATGGGCTAGATAGTCCCCAGAGGATTTGCAGGCTCTTTGAGATGAGGGAAGTGGGTGGAGCCTGAACCACCTCTAGAGCTGCTTTTCTAGCCTCACAGGATTTTTTTAAAGATAGTTGCTCTTGATTTCCCAGAAACTGGGTTGTAACTCAAATGATAGTATAGGTTGATCTACCTGTCCAACTACATAATAAAGGTACAGAGAGAGAAATCTCTCAAGTTTTCTCCAAGATGTAGTTTCTGGGGCATAATCCATCCAATTGAAAATGTTTCCAATTAAAATGCACCCAAGGGGTGAGTCTCCGGGGATGCTTGGGGTATTCCCCATAGCAGTAAAGCCGGTGTTTGACTGACAGTGGGCTGGAGAAAGGGTGCAGAGCCCAAGTGTGGGCATCGATATAGTTATAAGATGTAGTCAGGTCCCGCTCAGCCCAGGCACTTAGCCCCTGAGCCAGCACAAGGTGAGCCAAGGGAAGCAGGAGGCAAAGGCCTGGAGCTGGCCGGAGGCTGGGGCTCCCAGCACCGGGGTTGAGAGTTAAGTCCCTGGAAAAAATGTTTCAAGCTTTCAATTTACCAAAGATCCAGGTTCTGCTCAGGTCCAGCCTGAACTTAACCTCGACTTGGTGACAATAGAGGAGATGACAAAGGAAACAGACAAAGAAAGGAAAAGAGGAGATCAGGCCTCACCCTCGTGGCCTCTTCCAGAGGTTTATCAAAATAAGGGTCATACAACAGTTCTCATGCCGGGGCACACAACACGGGCAGGACAGTTCACAGAATAAATTACAGGTCTCCTATCCTTATACCCGACTCAGTAGGCATCTAAAATACTCAACGAGTCAACTGCCAAGAGAGGGTACCCCATTTGGGGTCACCGGGGTGATCAGGCCCAGAAACCAGAGTGGGGGCTCCCAGGGGCGGATCCTTTGACACTTTAAAGATTTCTCTGTTTCTCAATTGCAAAGCTCAAAAGGAGCCCAAAATGGGCACTGTAACTTTTAGAGAGATGAAAGAAAAGGGTCCATTACCTTGAAAATCCCCCCTAAACCTAGGGCAGCGTCCTACCCGTTGTTCCTCCTGTGGAGTTCCTATAGCAAGGGGTGATGGGGACATCCCCCTGCATTGCATCCCTTGTATATCTTCCCTATTATGCCTGGCAGTAATAGGCGCCTGGTGAATGGTCTCAGAGATAAAAGAATAGAGAAAAACAGTGAAGAATTTTCCACCCATCTGGGGGACATTCTACCCAATTGCATCCTGGAGCTGTTCTCCCAAGAAAGGGTTCCCATACTCAACCAGAGGTTAGAGTTTGTTACTTTCCTTGAACCAGAGTCCCAGTTGGGACTTTCCCGAGGTTCAGAGTGTGGTCAGGAGCCATAGGGAGGGATTCCAAACCAGCCTTAGGAAAAGAAACCTGCTGCAGGAGTCTTGGAGATTGGCGGCCGTCCTGATGAGTTACGTGGTCTACCTGTGGCCATGTAAAATTTATATATTAGAGATAGGATTAGGAAGGAATGGTTTAATTTGTTCTTCATCACCCTCAGGCTTAAGGTACTGGTTCTCTTCGGGTTGAATGCCATGGTTTGCCCCATAAAGTAGCCATGGGCAGCAAACGTGGATTCATACAGCTGTCCAAGAAGGTTCCTGATGGAGAAGTGAATTTAGATCCATCCTTGAAAAAGAGAAAGGCACAAGGAAGAAAAGTGCACTTACCAGAACTTCAGCTCACAAGCTGGTGAAGCAAGATCTCCATACGGGCCACCAGAAGAAGGGATGCAGGCTCTGCAAGCCAAGGAGTCGAAAGAAAGATTTCTTGGACTCTCAGGGTCTGGTAGTAGTACTCCTTTATTCAGAGAATAGCGTGGGGACAGGACCCATGGGCAGGACTTTATCAATAGGTCATGGCCTTATAATATTGGACAGGGAAGTATTCCCAGTTAGACATTTTAAAACATACTCAGGCAAAGTTGATATAACCTCTTTATAAAAAAAAATCAGCTCAAGCATTCTAATCTTTATAAACTTATCAACACTTACACTTTTATTTTTCATCATTTCAATTGTAACCTGAGTCAGGGGCTTAAAGCTAGTCACTATTTTTCTGTGTGTGTGTTTCTTTTTTAATTTGGCCTTTTCATATGTACCGATAAAAATTATGATGAGAACTCTCACAAATTTTTTCCCCCAATTTAGAAGTTTTCCCAATTTAAATGATCCATCGTCTGGCCATATTGACGAGTAGGATCTTAAAAGCAACTCAGCCAATAAGCTTAACTGTGGACACGGGAGGCGTCCCCAAAAGAGATCCAGAAACGTTCACTCCCAAAAATAGTCTAAGAAAGTAAAGGCCTTCCTTGCACAGCAAGCAACAAAGGTTGAGATGACAAACACCCCTCATGAAAGCAGTAGGGACCCCCTATGACAAACTCCCCTGAGAGCTAACACAGCCAGACAAAGAGAGTGTGTCCCGGCACCCCAGTCTACTCCACTGGCCACCAAGATGTGTGCCAGTACATGCCTCCTCCAGATGGCGGAGACCAGAAAATTCACAAAACCAAGCTCTCAAGACATAGAACAAGACAAAAGGCCCAGACAACAGGCTTATAGAGGTGTCTGTACCTTATGACAAACAACAAAAAAAGACAGACGAGGAAAAGTACTCTCTCTGGGAGGAAAAGGATCTACAACCAACGGGTGCTCAACCAAATCCCAGAGTTGCTGAATCCAAGAAGCTAGTGACAAGAAATTTTCACATATTGAGGTATATAGGGTAACTATTCGAGTTCAAAACTGATTCGGCTTGAACTAGAAAGCCTGACTTATGGCCTATCAAACACACATTGTACATCTGCTTATCCATTAAAGTAAGGACTCTCTTGAGAGAAAGAATGCATACTTCCGCTCCTGTGACCTATTGGTAACAACACCTTATTGGTAACGCCCTATTGGTAACGCCTGGATTAGTCCCTTTCCTGGCATCATGGTCATGTTGACCCGCTAATTTGCAACCGAATACCTCTTTGAAAATGTATCCTGGGTGTGTCCAATGTATCTTCTTTGTTCTGAAAAGATATAAGACAGTACTGAAACTCACACTTCTCTGGAATGCCTTCTAAGGCCTTCCCCGGTGATAATCTTCACTTTGGCTCATAATAAACTCACCCCAATTTTGATTTATAGGTTGGTTATGGATTATTTGCATTGACACTAGCCTCACCAAAATTCCCCCCACTAGTCTAAAATTAGAAAAGCAAAAAATCTCACCACTCCTGCTTCCATTGGACCCTGCAAGCAGAGATCCGGGAGACTGACGTCGTAAGAACTCTTAGCTCTTGCCAGCTCTCATCAGGGGTCCAGGATCTCTTGGTTGCAAGCAGTCCAGGAGTGAGCAGTGTCCAGCCAGTGAAATTTTATCCCATCCAAGTCGCCAAACTGTAGGGGAGGAAGACATTTACTCTACCTGCTCTGGGTCCTTCTGGCTGGACAACAAATTAAATTCACATGGCACAGAATAACAGGAGAAAATTAAACAAAGCTTTACAACATGTATACATGGGAGAGACCCAGAAAAACTGAGTAACTCACCAAAATGGCAGAAGCTCTCACCTTATATCCTCAGCTAAAGACAAAGGAGGATGTTGGGATTGGGGGGAGTCAGTTATGGGAGATTACCAGAAAAGCACAGTAAACAAGGGTAAGGTTATAATGCAGATTTAAGTCCTTGCCTTCCACATTGATTAAGAGTTTCTAGAGATAAGGTCATCCCCCCTTCTTCCTGGTACAGAGAGGAAGACACATTTACAGATGGAGATTTTCTTTACAAATGTAAATGTCTCTTAACAAAGGGTAAGTAAATTCTACTTTTCAGAGTTTCTCTCATGTTTGAAGTTTTTAAAAGTAACCAGCCCAAAATAATCCTCATGCCAAAGAGACATGTCTTTGGGTGGCCAATTCCAGTCCCCAGCAACCACATTTGCAAACTGCAGCTTTCAGCTTTAATTTTACTTTTACAAAAAAATGTTGAACTCTATGCCTATATTCAACAACGAGGTCCTGGAAGGTAGTTTGTACCAACCCATCTACAGTGTTCTTCATCTAGGCCCGCCCAACCTGATAACTTACACCCTGAGATCATAGGCCAGACGGGTGATTTCCAAGGCAGGGGTCTCTGTCACATCTCAGACCCCTTCTCTGCCCCAAGGACACACCCCAGTGCCCCCACCCATTGTTTTCCCTCTCCTGGGCCCAACGAACCTGCTTGTTGCACAGTTTCCTTCACATTCTCCCCAACTCTACCCCGCTAGACATCCACAAACTGGGTTTGGGAGAAGGACAATCCTACAGGCAAGAGTTATGTGGCAAAGGCTGTGGGGAAACAGATGGGTCAAGGGCAGCAGGGAGGCAGGCAAAGGCAACAGGAAACAGATGCACACAACACACACACAAACACACTCACACACACACACACACGTGTGTGCATGGTCCGATCTAAGACGTGAGGCCTCTACTGGTGCTGGTGCATCCGTCCTGGCCTCTCCTCTGAGCTGATTCTGGAAGCATAGTGGTCTCACACGTCCTCCTGTGTTCTTGCTAAGGCTCTTCCACTCCTGATGGAGGAACTCACTAGTCCCCACACTTTCCCATAATCACTACCTCCAGCCCACACCGTTCCCTGGAAAGACCAAACCAGGGCTTTTAATTGTTTATCTCATTGTAGCTCATGCATATTTAATAAACAAAAATTGTCACAAATTTTTATAAAGAGGGATGTGGCCTAAGAACCATGTGAAAAATGGAGCATGATATTTAGTAAACTTCAAATGTAGGGTGTGTGTTTGTTATAGATAAAACGTAATATGGCGAACATGTGTCATGCGTGTACGGAGAAGGGGATCACGGACCCAACCAAAGCTCCAGAAAGTTATCGCAGTTCCCAAGCTCTCCACGACCTGGTGGAGTCTTCAAAGTCAAACACGGGTGGGAGATTTATTTTCTGGCTGAATGAGCGAACCCATCACCTTCATCTTCATCCAGCCTCAGCTGTGCTCATGTCTCCCTCCTCCTTACACTTGGCCCTGACCCCACTCACTCTCATTCTGTTCACCGGTACCTGGCTGCGCTCCTCCCCACCTCCAGCTGGGTCCTTGATTACAAGAGATTGATGGAATCAGAGAGCGAATGAAGACATGGAGGAGGCTGGAAAAAGAGCATCAGCACAAGGCGATGAGGCATTTCCAGGAACTGAGATGAGTTTGCTGGAGAGTTAACGTCTCTACCCACAGTTGTTCTGGAATATTCCCTGAGCACACATTGGCTATGCAAGGAGTGACAAAAGTCTGTCTTGGTACACACAGCCCTGAGGTTCTTGGGCACTTGCTTTAGAGACTTACAGGCCTCTATTCCTCAGCAAACCCCGAGGTGTACTATCAAATATAGATTGTTATCTCCCTTTGAAAATAAGCAAACTGCTGCTCCTTTATCAAGCTATTGAGAGTTCCTGCTCCCCAGCGGAAGGGGTGTTTCTTGAACTCACTCGTTCTACAGTCTTCCCACAGAAAACTGGGCAGCGAGGTTTGCAGAGATGTTTGGCAATGTGCTTTCGGAAGAACATGGAGAGATACCTTCTGAACTTCTCACCAACGAAGGCGTAGATGATGGGGTTGATGCAGCAGTGCGTCATCCCAAGAGTCTCCGTCACCTGCATGTCTTGGTCCAGCCGACTGGAGGTCTCAAAGTCACTCAAGCCAAAGATTTCCTGGAAGGTGCTCAGGAGAAGGACGATGTTGTAGGGAGCCCAGAAGAGAAAGTACACTATCATGATCACGAAAATGAGCCTCACGGCCTTATGCTTCTTCCTGGGGAGACATTGAAGCAGGGTTTTCAGGATTGCTGAGTAGCAGATGATCATGACCAGCAGTGGCAGGACCAGGCTGAGAATGGTGATCATTATTATATGGAAATTCCTCCATTGTGGTGGAAAATAAGGGCCGCAGGAGTAAACAGACTCTTTCTCAGATTCCAAGAAGTCTTCTTTTTGGGATTTGGTAAAGATGATTCCTGGAAGAGAGGCAAACACAGCCACCAGCCAAGTGACCCCACTTGACACCACCCCAAAGGCGACGGTGCTGACCTTTAAAGGAATCACACGATGGACGATAGCCAGGTACCTGTCGATTGTCAGGAGGATGATGAAGAAGATTCCAGAGAAGAAGCCTATAAAATAGAGTCCAATCGAAAGTTGACACATTCTATTTCCAAAAACCCAACTGTGTGCTGCGTAGTGAGCCCACAATGGGAGGGTGAGAACGAAAAGCAAGTCAGAGATGGCCAAGTTGAGCAGGTAGATGTCAGCCACCCTCTTTAGCTTTACGTACTTTATCAGGACAAGGATGACCAGCATGTTACCCAGAGAACCACAGATGAACACCAGCGAGTAGAGCGGTGGCAGGAGCCTGGCTGCGATTTGTCTCACGTCGGTTTTTTGGCAGGGCTCTGACGTACTGTAATCGATGTCATAGAACGGACTTGTCGTCTGATAACCCATCTTGCTCAACCCTGTGAGTAAAGAAACAGTGATCTCTTATAAGGTCCTGGAATGTGTTTAGTACCCCACCATGGATGCAAGCCATCTTATACAGTAATAGGTTTTTAAAGTTGGAACATAGATTTCCACATTTAACTGAGCTCCCTTTTTTTGGCCAACAATGAACTTTTTTAGTAAAGGGAAGGTTTGCTGCCAGCTTTTCTGCTCACTAGACGGACAGCCCAGCTGTGTTGGGGAAATTCACGAAAGCATCATCTCTCCAAATAAAATCTGGTGTTCTGTCACCACAGGGAGTGAATGGGGCTTTGATAAGAATTTCAAGAAACTGAGTCAGGCGCCGTCCAACACCGTCTTATAGTCCGTGCTGAAGCTGCCGGTCCCTGGAGTTAGCTTCCTCAGAGCATCCCCACGAGTGTGCCAGTCATGATGACCAGTTCCCAAGGGCGCTCTGCATGCCAACCAGTGTTCTAAGCTTCACATCCATTCAGTCATTAATCCTCAAGCTGACTCTAGGAGGCAGGTCATGTTACTGTCCCCATTTTGCACATAAGGACCTTGAAGCACAGAGAGGATGAGTAACTTGCCCAAAGACACGCAGCTAGGAAGCAAGTGATTTTGAATGCAGGCAGCCTGCACTTTTATCCACCATGCCACCCTTCCTCCTTGGTGAGAGGACTAAGGAGTGGGACTGTTAGCCTGGCACCTCATTGTGGTCAGAATGAAAGGGGATCATGCCCACATGCCCCTCACAAGGTCATAGGAGCCAGAGCCACTTTGTAAACGCCAGACTGCCTGTCTCACATTGTCTCTGAAGTTTGTGTTTGTAGTTCCTGAGCTGCTAAAACTAAGAGCTCCCACACATACATGAGAAATGGCCAAGTGGAAAATATTTCATTCACCACCATACGTTCCGGGTTAGCTTGGCCCCTTCGCAGCCTGCTGGCTTGCCTGGTCTACTTCAGCTCCACTGCTCGGCTCAGAATTGCCTCTAATTATCTTTGTACGTCTCAAGCTCCCTGTGCCTCACGTTAGGCAGCTGGGAGAAGCACACAGAAAATTTCACCTTTAAATTCTGAGCCAGCAAAGGAATCATACACTCCATGTGTTGCAGAACTGATATATTAAAGGAAAACTTTATATCATATTGCAATTTGATATTAATTTGGAGAATATTTAGGCTTCCCTTTTTTCTGGGGAAAAACAAAACGAAACAAAAGAACCAGACTTAACACAACTTGTGGTTGGCCCCACGTTCAAGGGCATCCCCTGCGGAGGCTGTCGTGCTCCTCACCAGAAGATAACCTCTTCCAAGAGTTTGGCCAACCATCATCTCTCTGAAAATCTCTCTTTTGAAAGGCGAGGGTTTAAAAGAAAAAATTCTCCCTTTAAAAACTTTCATTCATAATCATGTTTTATATCTTTGATGTTATCACGGTCTGAAACTCTTTCTAAATCCTAAGTCTTTCCTTGTCTCAAAGATGGTATTTTAGGATAGTTCTACGAGCAGCTGGTATGGTTTAATGTCTTCTCTGGGTTTCCTCTACAGGCTGTTACTCAGCCAGGAGCTGAGCTGACTAGTGGCAAAGGGGCTGGGAGGTGACTTACCAGCAGGCCTTCTCGTCAGGGCACAGATGTCTCAGCTGCTCTGCTCTGCTGAGCTGTGTGAATCAAACATATAGACAGTGTGAAAGTAGGAAATGCAGCTTCTTTGAAAGGGGGTGGAGTTTAATGAACAAGTATATTACCAGGCAAAAAAATCAGAGAACAGTTCTTCTTTTTTTTTTTTTTTCCTATTGAGCTAAAAATAGGCTGGAGACTAGACCTCCGTCTGAGAGTGTACTCGCCGTCTCCCCCGAGTGCGCCGTCTTCTTTTGGTTCTCTGCTCGTCCACTGCGCAGTCTGTTAGAAAACAGAAAGAACTGAAGGATGTTAGAACTAGAAGGACATTCACACCATCTAGTCCAAAGCCCTCATTTCCTGAAAGAAACTGCTGTCCAGGAAGCAGATGATGTCTACAAGACCTCAGGGCTTATCGGTGGTGAGGCGAAAAGGGTGAGAGATTCTGATTCTGTTCCTATTTGTCCTCCAGGAAAACCAGCTGGAACCAACTTCAAAGTGGGACAGGAGTGCCTCACACCAACCCCACGCTCCCCTTTATCCACTCTCCTCCCATCCCCCCCGCCCACCTCGACTCACACACTCGCTCACCACTCAATACTGTTTTTCTCTGTAAACTAAAATAACATTGTCTAAAGGGTTTTAACTACAGGTTCACCTTGCAGCTAAACACGTCGCCCAGCTTTCTCCGCGTCAGGTACCTGAGGGGCGGTGGGGGGTGTCGTTATGAATGTTCCCTCTGCCTCGTCACTGTCTTGCAGCCCTCCACGCCAGCAGCACCTGTGAGCGCCTGTGCTGGGCCAGATGGAGAGGCAGCGGACCTCCTCCCGCCACGCACACAGTCTATCTGGAGTATGAGAAATTTTCAACAGGAAATGGGCAAAAATTGACAGAGGGACAGGGTCAGGTTCAGGATCATACGAGCAGACTACTGTATAGGCAGTCACATCGAGCTTTCTTCGTGGTTGGTTCCTTATCTACAAACCTCAACTGTTGACAACAGAGCTGAGAACACAGGGGAGAGCCGCTCCTGAGCCACAAGCACGCCCTCTGGGGGTGTCTGTTTCCTCATTATGAGGTAAGAAGCGTTGGCTTCTGAGCTAAGGGATGGCAAAGGAGACCCTAAGCTTGTGGAGGCAGCCTCCCCCTCGGGCTGAGCAAGCGACCTCTTCAGGCAGACGCCCGAGCTTGAGGCCTGCCCGACCCTCAGCTTTCCCATCTGTGCGCTGGGCTGCACACTCCAGCTGCTCCCCGGGTCTGTTGGGAGGATTCCGTGAGGCAGCCCCGTCCAGGATTTAGCACAGAATATGCTCTCAATAAACCTCAAAGTCTTAGTTACTCATTCCGCGATGTTTTCTTAGAGAGAGTTTATTTTATAAAATTCTAACAAAATTGGTTCGCTGGGGTCCCCGTCTAGAGCAGATTAGTGTCAGCGAACTAGAGGCTGGAAGGGTGAAGCTAATGGTTGGTGCTCAGAGACCAGGAGGAAATGAGTGTCGGGGAAGCCAGGAAAGGCAGAAGTAGCCCAGCGACCAAGAACCAGCCCATATAGGGTGATGGTTTGTGTTACAACAGCGCCCAACGACCAGCAATCAAAACCAGGACAGTGAATCGTGCAAAAGATGTTCCAGTTCATCCTGCATGGGCAATTCGAGAGGCGGTGATGAAGAACTGGACTCTGCAGACGTGCTGTGGGGTTTAAACCCCGGTTTCACTGTTTCCTTCTTGACTCTGAACGAGTTACTGAAACTCTCAAGCCTCAGTTTTCTTATCTGTAAAATGGGGGCAAAAACCCCAAAACACAAACCTACTCGATAGGTCTGCGGTCAAGATCAAATGATACAACAAGGGTAGGGTCTTTGCAGATCCCGGCCCTCTGCGAGCTACTGAAGCAGTGAAATATGGGCCACACAGAGATCCACATGCACATTCATAGAAAATAGGTCAGCTAAATTCAGTTTGTTTCTCTGAAGAGCATTCTGTGTGCCCTGGCGATGCACGTGGGTGGAACTGTCAGATGCTGCTGGAGAAACGTACATTTCTGTCTTTGACAATGGCCGGGTCTTACTTTGACCACAGGAGCCAAGGCTTTGCCCTGTGTTCTGGGTCTCCGTCACAGGGGTGGTGGAGCTCGTGAAGGCGTGCCCACCTGCAGAGGGCGGCCTGGAGTAATGGAGCAGCCTCAGAGTCACCCAGACCCTGCTGCTGACTGTGGTGTGCCCTGGGTAAGATACTTCCTTTCTCTGAGCTTTCATTTCCTCATCTGTCAAGTGATGTGCTAGCCCTGGGGGTCCCAAAGCAGCTCCCCCTTAATTACTAAACGACTCCAAGGCCAGGTTGGTTTGGAAAATACACGTTGGGTGGGAAACAGGGTGAGGATTCAGAGGCTGAAACAAGGAAGCCCAGTTTAGCAGGGTGCGTTACCTCCTTTCAGGTTTCTGGGTCCAGAGGTGAGGTGAGGTCACCTCTCGGACCGGGATTCATCCCAAGGATGCACGAGGAAGTGAGGACCCATGGGAACTTCTTCAGCATTTCATCAATGGAACATTGTTCTGGCTTAAACAACAGTGACTGCAAACTAGGGGTTTCTCATGCTGTGACTTTGTTTCTCTGCTTCTCTTTCTACCTTGGCCCTTCCAGTTTGCAGAGTCTCATTCACATATATATACGGCATTCAGGCTCCCCAGGAGACATGACCTTAGACTGGCTTGTCACTCTAGACTTGGTATCCATATTGGAGAGTGTCTGGTGCCAGTCCTCCTTTCTGGGCACTGGCCAGCCTTTAGACAACTGCTCCAAACCTAGACACTGCACCCAAGTTCCAAGGGTCATTCACTCTCCTTGCCCACGCCGTCCCTGGACCGTCGACTCAGAGCATCTCCCCCAGCATGGGAGAACGTCAGCCTTCCCCTTGGGTGCCAAGGGCCCACTGCGTGAGCCCGACGAGCTGAAACTGCCACACAGCGGCTGCCATGAACACAGCCGGGGCTCGAGTGGGCTCTGGGTCTGTGTCAGTCAACAGTGCGATGGGCCACAGAAACGTAGGATTCTCATTGTGTGAGATGAGGAAAAACAGAGAAATAGAAAGTAGGAACAAAATTAGGCACATTTTCACAATCTCAGAACAACCCCTCTTGACACTTGATGTTTCAATCCAGACCTTTTGCTGTGCATACTTTTTGCTTAACTGTCCCCTCACAGCACCAGTTCTGTATGATGCTCTTTTCTTTTTTGCTCAAGATTGCAGTATAGACATTTTCTCATGTTGTTAAAAAACTCTTTGTGAGTATAGTTCTTTGTTACTTTTACTGAGGTGTCACTCACATGCAGCACAGGCCACTAATCCTTCGTGTCAGCGTGGAGAGGTTTGCCATGCATGCACCCAGGGAACCACCACCCAGCTCGAGATGATCACCCAGAAGCCTCCCCCAGAGGCAAGGGCCACTCTGACCTCTGTCGTCATGGATTGGATGTGCCCGCTCTTTAACTTCATATAAATGCCATCACAGATGCTGTCCCCTTTCATGTCTGGCTTCCTTTGGTGAACAGAATGCCGTGACTGGATGTGACAGAGCTCTGCGATGACAGTCGGGCTCTCTCTGTGGTGCACTAATGTGGACACTGTGTTTTGCGTGTTGCTGTCAGTGCTCGTATCCCGGCCCAGGAGGATGCTCCCAGTGGCCCCAAAGCCACCTTCACCAGGAGAACCAGAGATCCCCGTGATCTCACAAAATAGGAAGACTCCACCCCCGGGGGTCGCATTTTGTCACCTGTGTGCCTCAGCAATGATGCTGGGTGCTGTGACTCCCAGCAGTCCTTCGCCTTCTGCCTCAGACGCTTCATGGGGAGCGGGGTGGGGAGGTCACTGTGCTGTCCTCTCCCTTCCCGCTGTCTCTGTCCTCTAGAGCCTCCCCTTTTCCCAGCCCATGAGTACATCCCCCATGCCCTATGCACGTCGTCGAACCAAGTAGAGGCCTGCAGGCTGCTGCCTCTGCCCTTTGTTAGATGTGTCCGGACGCGGTGGAAACCCACTCACTCAGTGGGGGCGTCTGCTGTGTGCATTTTGGGTATTGCTTTCGGATCAGGGCCCAGACCTGGGCCAACGCAATCTTAGGTGCAGTGACAGAGGCTGAATGCACCGATTAAGGTCTATCACAGGCCACTGGGATCTTCAGGGGTCGGATCACACCTGTAGCTCTCGATTCAGCTCTGTGATAACAGGATATCATGTGGGACTTTTCTTGTCCCAGAACTGGCAACTACGGCCTGAGGCTGACGGCAAACAGGTGTTAAGTACCCTCCGGTTTTACGAAAACCACTGACACCTGGGCTCACCCACCGCCTCCAGGGCTGACAAAGAGTGACAGAATCAGCCCTGTGCCTCCATCACCAGGTCAACTCCTCCCACCGTGTCCCACAGAAGGAGACAAGCTTGCGGGGGAGAGGGCTGTAGAAGTGGGTGGGATTGACGGGGAGGAGGGGGGTTCCTCTCCACAAAGCCATGGGAGGGGCTCTGAGACAATCATGTGAGGAATGGGGGCTTGCAAGAAGGGGAGGCCAGCACCTCCTTCCTGGGTGGGGCATCCACTAGGCAGCAGACCAGCTGAGCAGAGGAAGAGGACATGGGAGAGGTGATGGTGGAGACAGGGTGTGGCACTGAGGCAGCAAGGACGTCCCGAGGATGTGAGAGCACCCCTGGGTCAGGGTACAAACATGGTGCCAAAGTGGTGAGTCTGAGGAAATTTCCAACCTCAGTCACTCACCACACCCAGGGCCAGCCCGCCCCTCAATTCCTGGGCAGCTGCACAGAGGTGGCTCATCAGCCGGGTTTACACTTCTCTGCCCGTGCGTTTCCTCTTGGAGGCGCTTGGTAGACTTTGCCGCTGGCTGATCACCGGAGGCCATCTCAGTTTGTCAGGGAGATGTGAATAATGAGCAAAAGCAAAAGTGGAAAGATGGCATCTTGATGGGTGCCTCCCAGGAAGCTGCAGGGCCTCTCGGAGAAATGCTCCAACCCGGCCAGCTGCTTTGAGCACCGCAGATCAAGGAGGACGGCATGGGGCGGACTACGTCAAGCCCCCAACTCCACCAAGAGTCTTGAGAGACCCAGACCTTGGAATGGTGACCTTTCCTGAGCTCTGCTTCCCTCACACAGCCCACTCAAAGGTTCTCCCGGGGTTAAAGGAGACTCAAGGTTTCCACTTCCAGAAATAGAGATGGTCGCAACTTTTTCTTTTTATTGAAGATTGGCACCTGAGCTAACAACTGTTGCCAATCTTCTCTTTTTTTCTTTCTGCTTTTTCTCCCCTAATCCCCCCAGTACATCGTTGCATATTTTAGTTGTGGGTCCTTCTAGTTGTGGTATGTGGGATGTTGTCGCAGCATGACCCGATGAGCTGTGCTGTGTCCACGCCCAGGATCTGAACCGGTGAAATCCTGGGCCGCCGAAGCAGAAAAGTGTGAAGTTTAGTACTCAGCCAGGGGCCGACCCCTGGTTGGCAACATTTAAGTGGCAGTTTCTTTATTGGCAATAAAATCCTCTTGTAGCTATTATTATCATTGAGTTAGTCACTCCCTCCTCTGGGCTCTCAAAAAATGTCACTTATGCCTCTATTTCTGTGCTCTGCATAGTGCGCTGTGATTTACGAATATTCCGTTGTCTACCGCTCCTCCCCATCAGCAGTCCCTGGACTTGGAAGTCTAAGGGCATGGGCAGTGACACATCCATCTTTACATGCACAACCCAGTCTGGCACGTGGTGGATGCCCAGGTGTGTTTGTCACATTGAATTCCATGATGGAAAAACAAATGGACACTTCTCCAAATTTTGTTTATGAAGTCATTACATGCCATATGTATTAATTAGCTCTTGTTTTTAGCAAACACCTCCCCCCAGCCCCCAACTCAGTGACTTAAAACAGTAAACGTGGGCCTCTTGCTCCTGTGACATGTGGCTGCCATGTGGCTGGGACCCTGGCCCTGTTCTCTGTGTCTTCTCGCTTGCTCACCAGGGCCTGGCTGAAGGAGTCACGGTCTGGGACGGGCCCTCCTGTGGCTGCGCAGGGATAGCCAGGGGCTCAGCGTGACTCCACTTAATTCTCCACTTGGATGAGGCAGATGTCACTTCTGCTCAGTGTCTATAGGCAGAGCCACCTGTGGATCGGGTGGCGCTGTCCCGTCTGCAGGACACACTGCAAGCCACAGGGCAAGGACCGGCATGTGTGATCACACAGGGGAAGGAGTGAAAATTCGTGAACAATAAGACAATCTATCACACCACAGTATGACAAAGCGGGCAGGCTTCTTTTATTGTGGTAAGAATACTTAACATGGGGTCTACCCTCTTAACAGATGTTTAAGTGTATAATACAGCATTGTTACCTATAGGCACAGTGTTGTACAGCAGATATTTAGAACTCATTCATCTTGTATAACTGAAATTTCATGCGCACTGATAAATGGATAAAGAAAATGTGGTATATACCTAGAATGGATTATTATATAGGCTTAAAAAGAAGGAAATCCTGCAATATGCAACAACATGGATGAATCTGGAGGCCATGATGCTAAGTGAAATAAGTCAATCAGAGTAGGACAAATACTGCATGATTCCACTTACATGAGGTACCTAAAATAGTCAGACTCATAGTTGTGAAGAATAGAATGGTGGTTGCCAGAAGCTGGGGGAGGAGGAAATCCAGAGCTGCTAATCAGACAGTTTCTTTTTTAAAACCCTCTAGTTAGAGCGTTGATTCATTTTCCAAGTTATAGGTTTTTTTAAAAACAATATTTAGACTTCATTATCATCAAAACGAAAGTGAATGCATTCATTAGGATAATGCAAATGTCTGAAGGTGAAGTAGTGACCTCCCCTCCCCCAGGCCTATCCCAACACACACCACTTCTGTCTGAAACCTTCTGCAGCCACCAGGCAAGAAAGTAAAACCATGGTAACTTCCAGCTCCTGAGTTACCAGGTTCCAGAAGCCCATTGTTTCTCACTTGCTTCAGATCAGAAATGCACTAGGAAACATTCCTAACATTCTTGATGTTCTTAACTTGGCTCCACTGTGAGGAGAGGCAAGTCTTGGCTTACTTAAGTGACCAACTCCCCTCCTTTACAAACGAGGTTGGAAAACTGTGATTAGCTAGGTTTAGAAGTTCCCACTGGCCCAATGGGACCTTTTGAGCATCAATAAGGACATCTGCAAAGCACAGAAGCATTCAAATCTGATGAAATCCATGACATCATGATGACACAAAAAAAGGTTTTTGGCAGCATGTCTGAGAGAACAAAGGCAGAGTTGAGAGGATAGTCGTGGCGTGTGTGCTGTGATCCAAATGGTATTATACAGATACTACATTACCATAAGCTAGTAAACCCGTAGGTCACAGACCTCCAGCTCCCTGATCAACAGCTATTTCTGTTGAGTTGGTAGTTTCTGAAAAAGATGACGTGCTCCAAAATTTTAAGCTCAAAACCAGAATTGTCATGTGACTGATACAGCATTTCAGGCTTGGCATAAGAGTAACTCTTCAAATGATACTTTACCACATTTGCAAACTGCAGTTTCAGTTTTAATTGTATTTGTACCAAAAAAAATATTGAATTCTCTGCCTATATTAAAAAATGAGGTGCTGGAAGGTAGTTTGCTTCAACCCATCTACAGTGTTCTTCATCTAGGCCCACCCAACCTGGTAACTTGCACCCTGAGATCTTAGGCCAGACGGGTGATTTCCAAGGCAGGGGTCTCTGTCACATCTCAGACCCCTTCTCTGCCCCAAGGACACACCCCAGTGCCCCCACCCATTGTTTTCCCTCTCCTGGGCCCAACGAACCTGCTTGTTGCACAGTTTCCTTCACATTCTCCCCAACTCTACCCCACTAGACATCCACAAACTGGGTTTGGGAGAAGGACAATCCTACAGGCAAGAGTTATGTGGCAAAGGCTGTGGGGAAACAGATGGGTCAAGGGCAGCAGGGAGGCAGGCAAAGGCAACAGGAAACAGATGCACACAACACACACACACACACATACACACGCATGGTTCGATCTGAGACGTGAGGCCTCTACTGGTGCTGGTGCATCCGTCCTGGCCTCTCCTCTGAGCTGATTCTGGAAGCATAGTGGTCTCACACGTCCTCCTGTGTTCTTGCTAAGGCTCCTCCACTCCTGATGGAGGAACTCACTAGTCCCCACACTTTCCCATAATCACTACCTCCAGCCCACACCGTTCCCTGGAAAGACTAAACCAGGGCTTTTAGTTGCTCATCTCATTGTAGCTCATGCATATTTAATAAACAAAAATTGTTACAAATTTTTATATAGAGGGATGTGGCCTGAGAACCATGTGAAAAATGGGGCACGATATTTAGTAAACTTCAAATGTAGGGGGTGTGTTTGTTATAGATAAACCATAATATGGCGAACATGTGTCATACATGTACGGAGAAGGGGATCACGGACCCAACCAAAGCTCCCAGAAAGTTATCGCAGTTCCCAAGCTCTCTATGTCCTGGTGGAGACTTCAAAGTCAAACACGGGTGGGAGATTTATTTTCTGGCTGAATGAGCGAACCCATCACCTTCATCTTCATCCAGCCTCAGCTGTGCTCATGTCTCCCTCCTCCTTACACTTGGCCCTGACCCCACTCACTCTCATTCTGTTCACCGGTACCTGGCTGCGCTCCTCCCCACCTCCAGCTGGGTCCTTGATTACAAGAGATTGATGGAATCAGAGAGCGAATGAAGACATGGAGGAGGCTGGAAAAAGAGCATCAGCACAAGGCGATGAGGCATTTCCAGGAACTGAGATGAGTTTGCTGGAGAGTTAACGTCTCTACCCACAGTTGTTCTGGAATATTCCCTGAGCACACATTGGCTATGCAAGGAGTGACAAAAGTCTGTCTTGGTACACACAGCCCTGAGGTTCTTGGGCACTTGCTTTAGAGACTTACAGGCCTCTATTCTTCAGCAAACCCCGAGGTGTACTATCAAATATAGATTGTTATCTCCCTTTGAAAATAAGCAAACTGCTGCTCACTTACAAACCAGCTGAGACTTCCTGCTCCCCAGTGGAAGGAGTGTATGTTGAACTCACTCGGTCTGCTGTCTCCCCATAGAAAACTGGGCATTGTTTGCAGAGATGTTTGGCAATGTGCTTTCGGAAGAACATGGAGAGATACCTTCTGAACTTCTCACCGACGAAGGCGTAGATGATGGGGTTGATGCAGCAGTGCGTCATCCCAAGCGTCTCCGTCACCTGCATGGCTTGGTCCAGCCGACTGGTGGTCTCACAGTTACTCAAGCCAAAGATTTCCTGGAAGGAGCTCAGGAGAAGGACGATGTTGTAGGGAGCCCAGAAGAGAAAGTACACTATCATGATCACGAAAATGAGCCTCACGGCCTTGTGCTTCTTCTTTTCATTGCGACACCGAAGCAGGGTTTTCAGGATTCCTGAGTAGCAGATGATCATGACCAGCAGTGGCAGGCCCAGGCCCAAGATGCTCCTCATTATTGTATGGAAATCCTTCCATCCTGTTGGAAAATAAGGGCCGCAGGAGTAAACAGACTCTTTCTCAGATTCCGAGAAGTCTTCTTTTTGGGATTTGGTAAAGATGATTCCCAGGAGAGAGGCAAACACAGCCACCACCCAAGTGACCCCACTTGTCATCACCCCAAAGGTGACAGTTCTGGCTTTTAAAGCAAACACAGCATGGACAATAGCCAGGTACCTATCGATTGTCAAGAGGATGATGAAGAAGTTTCCGCCAAAATAGCCAATGTGATACAGCCCTGTGAATAACTTACACATCTCATCCCCCAAGACCCACCCATTCGTAACGTAATGAGCCCACACTGGTAAAGTAACAAGAAAAAGCAGATCAGAGATGGCCAGATTGAGCAGGTAGATGTCAGTCATGCTCTTCAACTTTTTGCAGTTTATCAGGATGAGGACAACCAGCATGTTGCCCACAAAACCAAAGATGAACACCAGCGAGTAGAGCGGGGGCAAGAGACCAGCTGCAATTTGTTTCACATCTGTTTTTCTGCAGGGCTCACTGAAATCATAATCATAACTAGTGGTGGGGTCTTCATCCTTCCCCTTGATATTCGTTGTAAGCAGAGAATGAGATGTGGACAGCATGTTGTGGCCGAACTGGGGAAATGTGTTGTTGCCATCCATTTTTCTCTGTCCTGTAAACGGAGAGCAAAATGATGACACACAACATAACTGCCACAATCCCTGATCTTTCAAAACTTCTTGCTCCACTTTAGCAACGTCCCAGGCTTTGATCTTTCCTTTGCAGCCGTCTCTTTGAAAGCATGTGTGCTAGTTCATCACTTCCCCTTATTCCTTGTTGCAGGAGCCAGTTGTCTCCCCAACAGCCATTTCCCAACGCCTTTGGCCTTCCTGGTGAGCCCGATTCTCACCATAAAGCTAAACGTGCTGGAGGCTTGCTTTCTCTACCTCCTCTGCAGGTGGAACACAACCCTGTGACCCACTCCTGGACAGTACTATACAAAGAAACTCTGGTAGGGGGCTTCTGGGAACGCTCTTCTCTGGTAGGAGAGATGCAAGAGAAATCCCAGTCTGGTCCTTCCGCTTTTGTAGCTTGTCTTATGAGGGCTTGGTGCTTGGGACCGTGAATGAAAGATCCAGAGAACTGGAGCAAAACTAAGCAGAGTCTCAATGTCGAGTCCCAGGCCCACCCTTGAACTGCCCATCTTCTGATTTCTTTTTATTTGAGAAAAATGAGCTCCTGTTCTTAAGCCATTATGGGTTGCATTTTTCTGTTACTTGCATCCAAAGCATTATAACTGATACCTTCTCAGCTTTCTGCCTCCATGATCCTACCCAAACTTCTCTTGCCAAGGTTGCAATAGCAACCCAAGTTTTAAATGCCCTGGCTTCGTTTCAGTTGCACCCTCATGGAGCATTTGACCCTTCTGCTAACTTCTTCCATTTAAAACTTTTCTGGCTTCCAGGAGGTTAGCTCCTGCCTCACCACTTCTTATTACTTTTCTTCATTGGTGTCTCCTCCCCATGCCCACACTGTAAGAGGCCTCAGACACCTCCCTTGGCTCCCACCTCTTTATCTCTTCTTACCTCTTTATTCTTGCTCCAAAGTACTTCCTGAATCGTGTTGTCTAACTCAGGATTCTAATTCCTCCCAACACTAATGCTTCCCAAAGTTCTGTCTTCCAGCCCACCTTCCAACTCCTACTCCTCAGAGTTGAATTTTCCATTGCCTACTGCACAGCTCCCCATGGATTTGTTTGTGTAACCAACATTTACTGAGCACCTACCATGAGCCATACTCTGTTTAGGCACTGGAGCAGTGAGCAAAGTGGGTAACATACAAGTACCTTAAATTCAACCCACCCCAAACTGAACACTTCTGGAAAGCTTCTTCAGCTTGTGCATTCCTTATCTTGGCTATTGTTATTTACGCCATTAGCTAAGAAGCAGGATTTGGTACTCTCCTGGGTCCCCTCCTCTTCAGAAGATTAGAAGCTAGGCCTTTCGAGGCAAACAGAACTGGATCGAATCCTGCCTGCCCTTTATAAGTTGCATAATTTGGGGCTAAGTACTTCTTCAGCTATCAGTTTCTTTATGTGTAAAATGTTAACTAAGCCGAGTTGCTGGGTGGATTAACGGAGACAAGGACTTGGCACAGCACCTGGTGCAGAGAAACGCTCTGTATTATTATTATGACATCATGAATCTACTTCAGCAACCCCTCTCAGATTCCTCCCCTCTGCGCCTCGTTCTACTGCCACTCTCTTGCCTTAGACACTTCTTGCTTCTCGCTTTGCTGTGGGCTTTCATTTGCTCATGACTTTTTCCTAGCCATGCTCCCTTCAATCTGTCTTCTCTAAAACTGAAATTAAGTCATGCACTTCTCAGCTTAAAATCACCAGGTGCCCCGTGATTTGTATGTGGTGGGACCTCAAGGTAATAGCCAGACTACTCATCATGCTTTTTCTGAGCTCACTTCTCAGCTCAATCTCTGATTGCTTCCCAAATCCCAGATCCTGTGTTCCAGCCACAGCCATCTTCTTTCCATTTCCCCCAAACTCACCATTTCCTTCATGCTTCAATGGTTTTGTATATGCTTGCCCCTCTGTCTAAAACAACTGCTGAGCTCCTATTCACCCTTCAATATCCCCTGCTCAAATTCCCCTACTCTGTGAAGCCTAACCTGCCTCCTCTATCAAATCATACTTATCATCTGAAAAAACTATGTATACCTCTAAATAAGCACTTATCATATTTTCTACACACTGTGAGCTTCTTGAGGTTAAGGATCAGATTATTTCTCTATCTCCAGCTCTTATGATAGCATCTGGCTAAAGGAGGAATCATTAAACATTTATTGAAAGAATGCACAAAACTCTTTCTAATAAGTATGACACCTAACATCAATAGCCTTGATTTTCAAGATTACTCATTTTTTTCTGGCAGTGATTGTAAATTTGTTTTATCTACCTACAACCTTATTCTTCAATTTCTCTTGTGACCGATACACTTCACAGATCATGCATTTCACGTCACTGAGCCATACTCTTGGAATCTGCAGCGACTAAATAAGTCCTCTGATCAAGATTGGAAAAAAACGTAGCCACCTAAAGAATCACAACTCTGATCAATAACTGAGTGCTCCTTCAGCTCCAAGTGCTGGGCTAAATCCTTTGCATACATTAATTAATTTAATCCTTACAACTATTTTGTGAGATAAGTATCTATACATTTTACAAGTGAAAATTCAAGCATGGGTAGATTAAATGACTTTCCCGAACTCACAAAGCAAATAATGGCTGAGCTGGAACTTCAACCCTGGGTTGTTCAATTTCAAAGGCCCTCGGGGGCTCCCATCTGTGGGCTCTGAGAGTAGAGATGAATGCAGAACAGGCAGCAGAATTCCTAGGTATTCTTCCATGCCTCAAACAGAACTTCTTTGGTATTACCCTTAAAATCCACACACTCACTCATACAAGCATGCCCCACCCATGCATGCACAAGCTGGTGTGCGCGCGCCCGCACACACACACACATTTCTACCAGAAAATAAGCTCCACGAGGACAGAAATCTTTATTTTGCAATGAGGTATCTTGGTGCCCCAGAACCCACCCTAGCACATGGAGGCTACTAAATAAGTATCCATTGAATAAGTGACTAACAGAGAACTAGCAGGCTGTAAGCTGCTGAGAATCAAAATGCTCCACTGTGGACTAGATGCCCAGGTAATCCAGAGGGAGACCTTATAAAATTGAACACTGTATATTGGAGATCTTTGCACACTGCCCCTTAACTGCAGCAAACCCCCTGGGCTGTTCTGCAATTACCTAGGGGGCTCAGTCTCCTCGTCTGTACAGGACAGTGTGGACGGAATCAGTGGTTCTCAGATGCTGTATCACACAGGAAGTTTGTCAGTTAGAGATATACAGCCCAGACCCTCGCTTCTGGTGATTCAGATTGGGGGTGAGGGCAGGGTGCATTGCCCCGACCACTTCCACCTCTACGCTGGTTGTTTACCTGCCCTGGCCTCTCAAATGCCAGCCACCATCTCCTTTTTAGTACTCCTCTCCTGTCACTCCAGCACACCTAGCTCCTACCACGCTTAGCAAGTGCTAAGACACTTAGCAAGGTGGCTGAAATGCACTGGTCTAGGTGTCACTTTCAAGTGTCAGGGCACATCATCCAGAATCAATTAAAAGCTGCCTCTCAGAAAAATTCCTCACTTCAGCCTCTGTGGACCTCCTAATTTGAGGCAAGAGGCACATTTTGATTCAGGGCCTTGACTATCACATATGGACTAGAGGGGGAAAAATTCGACATAGAAAGTTCTAGCTCTTTAAAGCCCTTGGGGCCTAGGAGGGGCACAGTGAGAGGAACACTAGCTGAGCACCTGATTGTCCTTACTTTCTTAGGTTGCCCTCTTTTAGTACAATCTCTCCTATCATCTGAGCCTGAGGGGTGGTCTCCCCCTGCTCTGCTCTCCCTTACTGTCACCAGGGTCTCTCTAATATTCCTGGAGCAGACACCACCCTCCACTTCTTTTTCCCATCTTGATCATCCCCCAAGTTCCTGGGCTGGGCAGACCCTCAGGATGTTCCTAGTCCCTGCATCTCCACTGTTGAGATGCTTTGAGCCTATAAAAAAAAGCCATAAAGTAATGGAAAAAGCATCCATAACTCACCAATGGATGGCTTCTTCCAAGTGGCACTGGTGTGTCAGGCTTCTCAGCAGCTGAACAAACAGATCTGAAGGTAGAAACTTGGTGTGCAGAAGTAGGAAATAAAGTTTCCTGCAGAAAGAGAAGGCGGAGATACAAGGGCAAGTAATGGTAAAGATTTGAAAAAAAAAAAAAACAAAACCAAAAACAAATGCTATAGTTCTTCTTTTCCAGCCAGGATCGTTGTACACTAGGTTAAGGTCTCCAGAGTAGGATTAATTTTGAAATCTTGCTTATGCAAGCTTGAGCGTGAGTCAGACACACCCTGTACATCTGCTCCTGTGCCTACCGACTCTGGGCTTCTTTATCTTGTGGGTCTCTATATCTGGAAATCTTCCTCTCTCTTCTGCCAGTGATAATTTGCATGAAATGAACACAACAGAACTTCATTTCCCGGAGGATAAATGCTAACTGGGGCTGTTGACAGTGGAGGAAATATAATGAGGTTTTCTGTGACCATATGCACTGGTTTCAGTGGCATCAGCAATTTGGGATCTAGTTAGAAATTTTATTTAGCTAGAGCTTTTTAATGAAAAGGGAATGGTAAATGGTCGCTTGTGTCAAAGATGTCCTTAGCAAGAAGGGCCTCAGTTATTATAGGTCTCACTCCTCAGAAGGAGGCTTTGTTTAAACCACTATTGAGATTTTTGGAAGATGGTGGAGTAGGAAGCACCAGGAATCTCTCTCCCCACCTAGACAACAACAGCAGAACCTGTCTGATCTGAGTGTTTTGGAAGTCTGGAGTCTGCTGAAGGCTTGAATCTTTCAGGGGAAGGCTTGGATGATCAATGGCAGTTAACTCAGTCAATTTCAGCTCTTAGCACCACAGCAGTTACTCATCCCCTGGCCCCTTGGCAGGCTGCCTTGCTCACGTTCCTGGAGCAGTTGGCACACGACTTGCAGGAGCCAGGCTGGGTGAAATTTGGACCTTGTCTTCCAAATACAAGGGATCTGTGCTCTGATTTCTGATTCTGCTTCTGATCTCAGAGGTGCAGACAAAGAGGCAGGCAGCCACTTTTGTTGTATTTCCCCTCATTGTTGCAAGCTCTCCCCCTCTGGCTGAAATGACTTTCAGGGGATTTAAAGAGCCACCACTTTTTATTTCTCTCCCCTTCATTTTCCTCTTTTGGGAACCAGACATTCTAAAGCAACTGTATTTCCAGGGAAAATTAGAAAGTGACCACACACACCCAGGGAAAGGCACATGCTCAAAAAAGACCTGAGAAGACTTTAAGTTCACACCTCAGGCTGATCCTTGGCACAGAGACAGTCCACAACAACTTGAAAACATAATAGAAAACTGCAAACCCTGGAGAAGGGGGAGAATCTGATTTCCAGAGTTACATTATTAGATTCAAATGTCCAGTTTTCAACAAAAAATCACAAGATGTACAAAGAAACAGGAAAGTACAACTCATTCAAAGGAAAAAATAAACCAACAGAAACTATTCCTGTAAAAGATCTGACGGCAAATTTACTAGACAAAGACTTTAAAACAAATGCCTTAAAGTTGCTAAAAGAACTAAAGGAAGATGTGGAGAAGGTCAAGAAAACTATGTATGAACAAAATGGAAATATCAGTAAATAGATAGACAACCTAAAAAGGAATCAAAAAGAAATTCTAGAGCTGAAAAATATAATTGAAACAAAAAAATTCACTAGAGGGATTCAAAGGCAGATTTGAGAAGGCAGAAGGAAGAATCAACAAACTTGAAGATGGGACAAGGGGAAATTATTGAGTTTGAGGAACGGAAAGAAAAGATTGAAAAAAAAAATGAAGAGAGCTTGAGGGATTTATGAGAGTCCCAGAAAAAGAGAGGCAGAGATAATATTTGAACAGATAATGGCTGAAAACTTCCCAAACTTGAAGAAAGACATGAGTATGAACATCCAAGAAGCTAAATGAACTCCAAATAAGATGAACTCAAAGAGACTCACACCAAGGCACATTATAACCAAACTTTCAAAAGCCAAAAATGCAGAGAAGATCTTGAAACTCTGAGAGATGAACGACTCATCACATACAAGGGATCTTCAATAAGATTAGCAGCAAATTTCTCACCAGAAATTTTGGTGGCCAGAAGGCAATAGGCCAATATATTAGAAGAGCTTAAAAAAATTTTCATCCAAGAATCCTATATCTGGCAAAACTGTCTTGTAAGAGTGAGGGAGAAATTAGGGCATTCCTAGATAAACAAAAGCTGAGGAAGTTTGTTACCACTAGACTTGACCTTCAAGAAATGCTCAAAGGAGTCCTACAGGGTGAAATGAAAAGATGCAGGACTTGAAGCTGTGTGAAGAAACAGAAGGAAACACATGGCAATTACGAAAGCTAGTATTATTGTGACAATGTTTTATGACTCCACGTTTTGTTTTCTACGTGATTAAAGAGAGTAATGTATTTTTAAAACTTACTAGTCTAAAAGCTAGTATTATACTTTTGGCTTGCAACTCCACATTTTGTTTTCTGCTTAATTTAAAAGACTAATTCATTTAAAAGAATTGTTAGTTTACGTTTTGGGGCACTCATGAATAAAGATGTAATTTTGTGACAACAAAACCAAAAGTGGTGTGGATGGAGATGCAGAAGAGCAGAATTTTTGTATGTTATTGAAGTTAAGCTGGTATAAATTAAAATCAGAATGTTGTAATTTTGGAGTTAAATGTGATCCCCATGGTAACCACAAAGAAAATAGCTATACAACATACACAAAAGGAAATTTTAAAAAAGTAACCATTTCACTACAAAAAATAAACACAAAAGAAGACAGTAATGCAGGAAATGAGGGACAAAAAGCTATAAGGCATGTAGAAAAAAGAAAAATGACAAAATTAAGTCCCTCCTTATCAGTAATTACTTTAAATGTAAATGAATTAAGCTCTCCAATCAAAAGATAGAGAATGGTTGAATGGATCAAAAAAACCCCATGATCTAACTGCGTGCTGTCAATAAGAGACTCATATTAGATCCAAAGACACAAATAGATTGAAAGTAAAAGGATAGAGAAAGATATTCCATGCAAATAGTTACCAAAGAGAGTGGGGGTGGCTATACTAGATATCAGAAAAAATAGACTTTAAGTAAAAAAAGATTACAAGACATAAAGAAGGACATTATGTATTAATAAAAGTTTCAATACAGCAAGAAGATATAAACGTTTACTCCCAACGAAGGATCATCAAAATATATGAAGTAGAAAGTGACAAAACTGAAGGGAAAAAAAGACAGTTGTACAATAATAGTTGGAAACTTCACTACCCCATTCTCGATAATGGATCCAACAGCCAGACAGAAGACAAGTAAGGAAAGAGAGGACTTGAACAACACAATAAACCAACTAGATCTAACAGAGCACTCTGCCCAAGGACGACACCATACATATTCTTCTTAAAAGCACGTGGGACATTTTCCAGGATGGACCATTTTGAAAATAGAGAACTCCTAAAACTCAACAACAACAAAAAAACTCGATTCAAAAATGGGCAAAGGACTTGAATAGGCATTCCTCCAAAGTAGATATACAAATGGCCAATAAGCACATGAAAAGATGCTCAACGTAACTAATGATTAGGGAAATACAAATCAAAACTACAATGAGATACCATCTTACACTCATTAGGATGGCAACGATCCAAAAAACAGAAAATAACAAGTGTTGGTGAGGATGTGGAGAAACTGGAACCCTTGTGCTCTGTTGGTGGGAATATACAATGGTGGAGCTGCTGTCGAAAACAGTATAGCAGTTCACCCCAAAATTAAAAGTAGAATTACCATATAATCCAGCACTTCTGCTTCTGGTTGTATATTCAAAAGAAGTGAAAACAGAATCTTGAACAGATATTTATATACCCGTGTTCATAGCAGCATTATTCACAACAGCTTAAACATGCAAGAACCACAAGTGTTCATTGATGAGTGAATGGATAAGTAAAATGTGGTATATGCATGCAATGCAATATTATTCAGCCTTAAAAAGGAAAGAAATTCTGACATATGCTATAACATGGATCAAACTTGAGGACGTTATGCTAAGTGAAATAAGCCAGTCACAAAAAAACAAACACTGCATGATTCCACTCATTTGAGGTATGAAGAGTAGTGGTCAAAATCGTAGAGACAGGAGGTAGAATGGTGGTTGCCAGGTGCTGGGGGGAGGAGTTAATGGGGAGTTATGGGTTAATGGGTCTAGAGTTTCAGTTTTACAAGATGAAATGAGTTCTGGGGATGCAAGGTGGTGATGGTTACACAACATCACGAATGTATTTAACGCTACTGGACTGTACACTTTAAAGTGGTGAAGATGGCAAGTTTTATGTTTTGTAAACAATATACATTATGTTTATTTTACCACAATAAAAAAAAAAGGAAATCATCATTAACAGTACAAATTCTACAATGTAGGCACTGCACTTAGGAATACTCCTAAAGTCCCACAGGGAACATTGGGTCATCTGAGTTGGCCCTTGGCACATTCTGGAATTCAGCAGACTTTGGGGTCAGGATCTCATGCTGTGGCTTTGGCAAATTTCTAAACTTTGATTTCCCTAACTGTAGAATAGAAAAAATGAAGCCTCTGGGATCTAGGGGGTTTCCATGTACAGAAAGCAGCTAGTACAGTGTCTGCAATGTAGTAGGCACTCAACAAATAGTGGCTAACAACAACAACAGCAGTAAAACACTCAGTGCAGTCTGTGTGTCTCTTCTAGATTTCAGTAAGTTGTGATCATGTGTCTTGCATAAGACCTGGCTTTTGTGTTAAGCAAGAAGGGCCTCAGTTTTTCCTTAGAACACTGCTCCTTGCTTGATCAGGAATGGAGAAAGTTCCACAGCTGTCCCCTAATGTGCTCTCTGAGCAGGGATGAGAAGAATCTTTCTGAGATTTCAATAGCAAAACAGGTCATACTCATCTCAGTGATGCTGGATCCACCCCCACTTATGGAAATCTCCTGATTCCAGCATCTTGCTTCTAGTTCCTTTGAGTCAATCTGGGATATGGAAGGTCAAGACCCAGGAATTTTGCATTTGCTGATTAGGACCACTCTACATTTCTATCTTCACACTAGACACCATTGACTGTAGCCCTGTAATTTTATAAACAGAGAGAGGTGCAGAGGTAGGTAGTGGTAGAGCCAGGATTTGAATCTTTGACTTATCTCTAGCACAGGAACAGACGAGACACTTGGCTGAGATTTTGAAGAGACTGTGTAAGGATGAGAGTATGTACAGAGGGGTAGGCTGGGTTCAGAGAACCAAGAGGGGTGGTGAAGTGCCCAGAGACTAGCAACAGTGGG